GGTGGCTTCTCTTGTTGTGGAGCATGGGCTCTAGGTGCACGGGCTTCAGTAGTTGTGGCACGCAGGCTCAGTAGTTGTGGCGCACGGGCTTAGTTGCTCCACAGCATGTGGGATCTTCCTGGACCAGGGATGGAACCCATGTCCCCTGCATTGACAGGTGGATTCTTAATCACTGCACCACCAGGGAAGTCCCCAGCATAATGATTTGATTTACATACATCAATTTCATTATGAAGTGATTATCATAATAAGTTCAGTGAACATCCATAATCTCATATAGGTACAAAATTAAAGAAATAGGAAAAAAATTTATTTCTCTTGTGATGAGAACTGTTAGGATCTACTCTCTTAACAATTTGCATATATAACATCCAGCAGTGTTAATTATATTTATCATGTGGTACATTACATCCCTAGTACTTATTTCGCTTATAACTGGAAGTTTGTATCTTTTGACTGCCTTCATCCAATTCCCCCTTTCCCTGCCCTGCTTCCACATATTTAAATATCAGTTATGGAAATTTCTTTAGCTTGTCTTTGGGCAGTGCAACAACCCCTTGCTTGATGATTTCCAGAACCCATTCCACTGACAGCTCAGCTCCAGCTTGTAGCATCCTTGAGCTAAAGAAGGTGATTACCAGATCAATATTTTGTGTTACATCCTGAAATGAAGGGTGAGTTCAAAATTGTTCAAAGAGATCTCATGTGCAAAGCAGTGCATACACCAAGTTTGGATGGTGGCGAAGAGAATTTGGCAGGCAGGAAATGATGATCTCTAATATCATTGAAATCACTTCTTCAATGCCATTTAAGTCTTGTTTGTAATCTGCTAAAGGAACATCCCTGGAACTCAGCAAACCTCTCAAGGACTGTCTGGCTTGTTCCAGAACTTTGTTGTGTTTTTTAGACAGCAAGGAAAACAAATAGATTATCAGTTTACTGTAAGAGGATAAAACTCAGGAACAGCCAGATGAAAGAGACACATAGGGCAAGGTATGTGGGAAGGGGCATGGAGCTTCCATGCTCTCCCAGCATGTTACTCTCCCCGAATCTCACCAATCTGGAAGCTCTGTACTGTTTTTTTTAATAATACTTAGTTCTTCCTCCAAAGTAGGAAATGTTAATATTAATATTTCACTAGTTAAAAGCAAACTATGGTTCAAAAAACTTCTAATTGGTTTTGAACTGTAGTGAGAATGTTAATGATATATAATGGAAATGATATATTTATTCCATTATAGGTGCATATTTTTAAATAGAAGTTGAAGTATTTAAGAGTCAGAGTTTTCACTAAAAAGAGTCCATTCTGTCCCTAAGCAAAGCCTGTAGATGGGACGTTCTACATACAATAAGAAGAGAGGAGGAAGAGAAGGAGCCTTCAATGGTACTAAGAAAACCAGGATAATATAATATAATGCCCTAGAAGCCAAGAGTGAATTTAAGGAAGTGATCAATTTTAAATGCTATACATGGATAAATCAAGGAGAAAATGAACAGAAAAATTACATAATAGTGAACCATATCTCTTTTCTGTTAAGCCTTCTTGGGGTTTTAGTATATTGGTCACTTCGGGAGAGTCAGGAGAAATGGAAATAATAGATATCCTACCTTCACAAAATCCATTTTACTTTTTTGATTTCCTCCTTCTGCATATATCAGAAACTACTGCTCTCTAGCAATGTCTATTGTCCATCCATTGCTCTAGCCAACTTTTGCAAATTTTGCTCAAGAATACATTTTAACCCACTTTCTTTAAGTATCTGCCATAGCGGATCATGACAGAAAATAGCAGATGTAGCAATGATTGTTTCCAATGCTTGACATTTAATTTAGCTATTCAGAATGATGGCTCTCTCGTGATAATTGGAATAATCTAACTTGATTACTGTTTGGGGGGTGGAAAATGATAGGGACACAACATCACTGATCATGCCTCCCTCCCTTGATCTCTTCAAAAGCCTATGCCTATGTGGTAGAGCTTCTGGCAAAGGTTTTCAAAAGAAATATACTCAGTTGGCATGTTTCCTTGGCCCTTTGCCCCCTTTACTTTCCTCCTTCTTTTTGTGGACACAATGCCTTGTAAGGGTAGAGCCATCTTACAACCATAAAGCCACATACTAGTGATAGTGAGACAGGAAGCGAGGAGCTTGGCTCCTTGCTGGCATTCTCAAAGAGTTGCACCAGCCCTGGAGTGCCTACCTCTGGACTTCTTATTATATGAGAATAACAATCCCCTTTTTGTTTAGTCACTAGAATCTGGTTTTCTGTTGCTTGAAGCATAATTCTACCCAGATTGTCTGCCTTCCCCACTAGATCATAAGATGTCAGATAGCATGTCTGTATTTGCTACCTAAGATAGGAAGCTTTCATAGCAAATAATAGAAAACCCAACTCAAAACTGCTTTAACTATAAGGAAGTTTATTAACTCAGATAACTGGAATCCAAAAGTAAGACAAACTTAAGAGTTGATGTGGGCTTCCCTGGTGGCGCAGTGGTTGAGAGTCCGCCTGCCGACGCAGGGGACACGGGTTCGTGCCCCGG